AGCTTCAGCTATCATTATTATATTACCAATGGCCTCATTATTATACTTTCAATATGTTACTTTGTATATATTGTGTTTAATAAAGTGTTAAAAAGTGGCTTTGGGTTTCCAGGATCAATATATGTTAGAAAGAAAAATGTACATGAATCCAGAGGTAGGGAAGAAATGGGATTCAAACTGTGGTTAAATGAATTTCTGTCATTCAACCCTGTACTAAGAGGTGACACAAAGCTGACACAAAGCTAATCCTAGTCATAAATCCCCAAAATAGAATTTAAGTGATACTTAGGTGATATTTAATGGTTATTTTTACCCGAGTAGATTAAATGAAAAGAACACTAGTTTGCTGAATGGGAGAGATGAGCTTTAGAAAAGAACAATGTATTCTAAAGTTTTTTACTCTTGTAGGTACCAGTTTTTTTCTGTTAACCTAAACAGGAGCTCTTCTAACATATATGGGGGCCTTTGCATGCTAAACTGAATTAGTATGAGCAAGGGACAGGTGTAATTTGAGGATAAATAATAGTGACACAACACATCTCACTAAAAATGATGGTGCATTTAAGATTGCAAGATCTTTTGTCAGGAGGTTTTCTTTTTTGTTTGTTTCCATCATGGTTAACTGTCCATTTATTCCTTGCCTGTCTGTAATAGAGTTTTGCAGGTTTAAGTTTGTTGCTATTATTTGAAAATAGTGGCATCATTGCTCTATAGTAAGCGACTGTTTCAGTCTGTTTCGGATCAGGACATAATTACTCTAAAAGTAAATAGTCTAGAAGTAAAACACAGTCCCCACTATGTTGTCTGCATCGTTAATCCTGAAGGATTTTGAGGAGTTCCCTAGGATTCTTGTTGTGCCTTCTGCTCCTGTTGCCTTGCTTTACAACATTCAGTGGATTTGGTGATATCTTTCAGAAACAGAAAATCACTAGAGCTGAGGATAGTCATTGCCTCCCTTTCATTCTCTATGGGAATGAACAAAAATGCACTTTTCCTATTTTTAAAAGTGTTTTTGCAGATTTTCAGTATTTCTCTTAACTGTTGCATTGAAACAGTATCAAAAGAAATAGTTTCTATTTAGTTTTTTTTTAGTAATTTCTTAAAGAACATTTAATGTACATTTATTCCAGAACACCTCCACACCTTCTGAAGCTTAAAGGATAATTAGGTAATGAAACTACTAAACTTTAGTTTAAAAAAGTAATTAAAACACCACCCCCCAACCACCAAACCAGGTTGTGTCTGTGAAGGATGGGGGAAGATATTTCCTAAATATAAAGCTGTGTTGGATGGACAAAAGAGAATTCTCTGTAACTCCTATCAATGTTGAGAAGCTTGTTCCACTGATGTGGCAGGGACAAGTGACACCCACGCATCATAGCCCAGTGCCTGTTTTCCCATGAAGATGGGACTGAGGCAGCTTTTACCTCCTTGCACTAGAGGTATAACATTGTGGAACATTTGGTCCTCTTCCTCCTGGATTTCCAGGTTTCCTGCTCAGCCCGAGTCTCCTCTAATGTACAGCTTTACACACGTGGGAAGTAATTTCTTCCAGAAGTAAGCAGCAATAATAAAACCTTATCATCTGCTCCACACCAGATATTATGAGTGTGGTTGTAAATAAAACCTTATCACCTTCTTTAAACCTGAGAGCATACACAGTGATTGCACTAGGATTTCTGTTTTGGTTCGACCCACTTTATTAAATGAGACAGTCTATGGCTACTTCCCCCCTCAATACATCTGATATTTTACAAGGTTTTGAGGAGAGGATGCTTTGAATTATAAATTAATCTAGAGGACTCCTTTTAATAGCGTGGGATATCTCCTCTGGTAAACCATTAACTTAAGTCATAGTCACTGTGGGGCAGTCAGATGAGGACAGTCAATACAAAAGTGCAAGTTCCTGACTGTCCAGAAAGTAATGAAAGTCCTTCAACAACTTGGGAAAGCAGCTGATTAATAAAATTTGCCAAAATTCTATTTTGGATTATTTCTGTGCTATAGATTACTTTCACACTAAAAATACTTTATATATTTTTTCATCATTATTATTGAAACTTTTAATAATTCTTCCATTTACCCAAAGCTACTCAAGTATGACATCCAGTGGCAGGGTTTCAAAGTTTAGGACATGAACAAATTTTGTCACTAAATGGAATTTTCCTTGTGGAAATGAGATGTTTATTCTCAGTAAATTGAAGATAATCTCTTCCAGATTTCAGAGCTGTCAGGACTGAAGGCCTGGACTTTTGAGGAGGCTGATGAACCTAATAAAACCTCTATGAAAAATTCAACTCTTCATTAGATCCTCCTTGTCACTAAGGCTTATTACAGCCGCTTACTTGGGATTAGTACAGAAGACAGAATGTGTTTAATATGTTATTAAACTAGTTACTTACATTAATTTTCTCCCTATTTGTGGTATCAGGAAAAAAATTGATGTTCTATACATACATGATTTTGTTTTGCTCAAATAAGTTTGGTAGCAGATTTGTCTTATGCTGTCAAAGACATAATTTTGGATTTTAAAATTTAATGTATAGATTATTAGATAATTCCCATCTTCCTGGTAAAAAAAAAAGGAAACTTCATTTTTACTGCATCCCTGGATACTCTGAGGTGTAGCTGCTTAGTACGGGAGTTGGATCACTTATGGATTCCTCACAAATGGTATTTGGTAATGTGTAAGAATAACAACAGCATATATTAAAATATCTTTATAATCAGAATAATAATGAAGAGCCTGTAGATATGAGAATCCCAAAGTTTTCCCAGTGCTTTAATAAGTACTGAGCTACCGTTACAATTCCTGAATTATTCAGGGCTATAATTTGGAGTCACAAGGCTTTAGTATGCTGTAGATGTAGCATTAAGGCTTCCAGGGTCATGGTAGATATTAAAAATTGTTATGGAGAGAGATCTAGATTGCTAATCACACAATGGCAGAAATGTTGTGGAGTGCCCTAGAATTACAAATAATTTAACAGCATCCGACTGGTGCTAAGTCCCCTCTCTCCCATTCCCCAAAACACAGGATGTACAGCAATGCTTCTGTGACAATAAACGGGTGCAAAATGTCCTCAAATGTACATCTGAAGAGTCCTATAAGCAATGGAATAAGAAGAGCAGAGCATATACAGAAAAAAAGCCTCCTCATGGACTGGAATGACAGTAACTAACCACTACACTGAGGTTATAATTATAATTTCGTCACAAGAGTAGGGAAGTCAAGGTTTCATAAGGAAAAAAAAATCTATTTACAGGAAAATATTATGCTTTTCATTTGATAGAAAAAGTAATTATTGCAAAGGGACCCATGGAAGATCTTGAAGACAGTCACCCTCCTTTTAATAAGTGCTTGTGGCAGCTAAGTGGGGATCAGGAGTATTCTTTATCAGGTTTGCATTCAAGTAGTACTAAATATATGCAGGTAGGAATTAAATAGTATCTGAGTTTAATTAAAATTATAAAAAAAAAAGGGGGGAGAAGAATGGTTGGTAGACTGCTCGACTGCATTTTAACCAGTAACCTCAGACCCTAATTAGAAATGCTTTTCATATCTCCTCCATGCAAGGGCTTAATCTGACGTGAGTCTGTGAGCGAGGGCTTGGGGGACCAGTGTTAATTCTGCATTCGATCTTGGTTTGTATGGAGGCAGGCAATGCTGATTGACCGAGTTGCAGCACAGATCCCATGACCTTGCTGGGATTTTCATGTGAGGTGTTAATTGAGAGGGTGGGTTAATCTTTGAGCATCATTGTCCCCGAGCTGAGGACAAAGTTTGTGCTCTCTGTTTCCTTACTCAACAGTATATTTGATCTCTACCTCCTCCCCTTTATGACAGTTTAGCAAGCCTGCAGAAAATTCACTCTTGATAAATTTATTGGTGGGGGATTATCTCTTGCAGGTTTTGTTTGATTTTTATGATCTAGTTTTGGAGAAAGAGTGGTTAACTGGGCTGAAAATCAAAATATCATTCTCTCTGTCCCCCCCAATCCACTCCAGAGACTATCATAGCGGGTGGGGGAGTGACATCTTGAGATTAATTATACTAAAGAAAACTACAAGGCATGATTTCAAAGTTGTTTCATCTGAGTGCTGGGAAAATATAAGCTCTTTTTAGTGCTCCTGAGTGGAAAGCCTAAAATAATTACAAAAACAAAGAGATATTACAGGGACAGAGCTTTTAGAATAGTATACAGGTTAGAGTTTTCATACTGGATTTGTGTAATGCAAGAAAAGACAGCTCCTGTCGTTTTGCTTTTTTATAAATAATGAATGGCTTTTTTTCCTTCATGTTTTGTTTTACAGGCCTGTCATTTTGAGTGTAAGGGGGAAATTTTTACTCTGGGCAGGACTAGCGAATACTGATTGACCTTAAATATGACTCCCAATGAGCAGGATGATGTGGCAGAAGCAAGAGAGCTTGTGAAACAACAGTGATAAAAAAAGCATGAACGATATCTGTCCTTGACACACAAAGAATTTATCTTGTTTTATTGTAAAGTACAGGCAACTTGTGCAAAGCCCAGCAGTGAGCTCTGCACCCTCTGTGAGCCCCACCAGCCGTGGTGTGGATGGGAAGGAGACTGTCCTGTGTCCAGTGGGAGATGAAGGGATGGTTTTGGCCCATTGAGAAGACAATGGTGTTTGGGTCTGGTTGGATGGCTGTGGAATACGTCCAGTAAAAAAAAGGCTGCCATGTTTTTTTCATGCTTGACCTGGTGGTTGTGTGACCTTTATGAGGATATTTCAACCTGAGTGATGCTATTGCCTGTTCTGGAATAGTTCCAGAGAAGGTCCATGGCAGGGTGAGATGTTCCTGTGCAGTGCCACAAGAGAAATGGTGAAGCCTTAATGCCACCAAGTTGTTGATAAGTGCAGACCTGGCCTCATGACTTTCAAATCTTCGGAAATGGTTCTGTGGCAAAAATCACAATTCTTAGGAATTGCCCTTTGTGGTAACATTGGGAGATTATTTTTTTTTCTCTTTTCAGGAAATGGCAACACGTTACTGACTGGAGAGTAACTTAAATCAGCAAGAATTTAATAGCTTCCTTGGCTGGGTGAAAAGCTACAGGTCAGCTCTTGGATTTATATCCCTATATAGGTTCCAGTTGTAGAGAGTTTCTTGTAGCAGTAGTCAGCAGTCTTCTAAGGCTGTTACACCAGATTGTATTTTTCTTTTTTAAAGTTTAAGAGTATTGATAGAAACTCAGTGGGAGCCTGGAAATGCTGGCGTTCGCTTCGGCGTCTATATCTTGCTTCAAAAGTGAGGCATTGGAGCTTGGGATTCACTGAGAGCCAGGAGCTGGGAGAGCTTCAGTCTTCCCTCAAGATGCTCCGACTCGGTGATCCCGCCCTTGCCCCTGCCACGCTAATGCTATTAAAATCCACCCACGTGCTATCTGTAATTGCTGACCACTATCTTAAGCCACCCTGCAGTCTTTGAGGAAAATTAATTTTGGAGCTGTGAAAAAGAGGCAGAAATTTTGTTTCGCAAAGGATTTGGAGAGTTCGAAATCTGGCTTCTGTTCATCCTGGAATGAAATGTGACATTTTCAAATTCTTGGCAGAGGAAAAGTCTCAAAAAAAAAAAAGCTGCCTTTCAGATTGATCAAAATGGTTCATTCTGGGTTGGACTTGCTTGATTTCATAATTTACCAGAAAAAGCCTGAAATAAAAGTCACTTCAAAATGAAAAATCGAAAAGGTCAAAACAAAATCCCCTTTCCCCAAAAACTCATGGCAAATTGGCATGGTTCATAAACCCGCTTAGTTTTATAAGTTCACTTTCTCCAATTCAAAGGGAGACTATTGATGTTGTTAGGGGGTTGGGTTTTTTAATTCCCCCCCCAACACTGCTTGATTATCTCTCAGTTATTTATGAAGGAGGCACTGAAATGAAGGTAGCATCTTGGAATCTGCATTGATTTTCAGATTTTCATGAATTTCTGTAAAATATATGTTTATGGCCTGATTGGCTTGGGAGGTGAGAATTATTTCTGGTGTTTGTAGCAAAAGCAACTTATATGGCCTACAGAAACGCAGTCTGCTCTTTGTGTTAATTGTAGACAGCTATTGAAAGGATATCCTTAGTCACTGGGTTAATATTTTAAAGGTTACACAATAGTAGCAGTTATTTTTAACACCGTGATTAACTACTATCTATATGTAACTGCATTGTTTCTAATAATTTTGTCTTGGTATAAAATAACATGTAAAAAAGAATTTCTTCACTAGGTTTGATGAAACTATGAGATGACATCAAAGGTTTCCCTAAGTGAGACTCAAGCCTTGTGCCATCTTTCATTAGGAAATAGGAAAATTGTGAACCATTCTTCCTTTTCTGCCCTTACTGGTGGCTACTGAAGGACTCTGTTTATGCTTTGGGGTAATCAGGTGCATTTTTGAAGTTGGTAGAAGGAGGAATGAGGACAATTACGAACAGATTGTAAGATATTTTCCCTTTCCAAGCCACAAAGTCATTAATGGGAGAAACCAGGAGACCATCGATGTGGCGTGGCCATAAGAGAAGAGGTGCTTGTTGTTCCAGGCTCTGTGTAGATCCCAGTTCTGCTTCATCACTTTGTGTGGAAGAACAGTTCTCAGTTGCACTAAGTGATGGAGTGACCTGCAGTTGGAAGGTTTTTCTGTGCGTGTGTTTCCATTTGGCCCTGTCTGTAGTCAAAGATAAGAGGGATGTCCATCACCATCTTCTTTATAGACTGACTATAACTCTGTGATAAGGCAACTATAACCCTATTATTAGGCAGGTAGTGAATGTGGCCCCACCTAATTTTGGACAAAGTACAAAATGACTGGTGTAGCAGATGAATTACCAGTTTTAGCCGAAGAATTATCAGTTCCAGCAGATGAACGATCAGTTTCATCTTTGGGGCTTTAGGCCTAGTGATCTTAGGGTGCTTGTTTGTTGTTTTCTGTTGTTTTCTGACTGCCTTTAATCTGTTTTTTAAAAATTCCGCTGATTCTGTATTTATAAAAGCCGCTTCACCTCATTGCTCTGGATGATCTTACCAGTTACAATATGTCTGGCCCGACATAAGGAAGCGGTCTTCTGGTACGTTCCATCTGTGTGATGTACTTTGTCTGTAAGTAATAACAAAAGGCTTCATTAGAGAGCTAATCAGCTCCCTCACCTTTGAGACCTAAAGTAATCATGTATTTCAGATGCACATCTATAAGAATGAGCCTGGTAATGGTGTTTAGGAGAAACTGTCTTTAAGCGAAGCCGGGCGAAGGCGGCAGGTGGTGTGCCCGGCTTCCTCCTCGACGAGCTTTGCCTCTTAATCCTGAGCCCCTTCTTTCAATAAAGTTTTACTTTAGCTTCTTGCAGAAAAAAGGTTTCGGAAGCTGGGTAAACAGAGCTTGAGCCTGCATGGAGGGGATTAAGGAGGAGAGGCAAGAGTGGAAGGGAAAATGAGGATATGACAGAGGCCATAGTGAGTTCAAACAAAATTTGGCCTGCAGAAGGCAGAAGAAATCCCACTGGTGACAGGTGCCATCTTGTGGGTCATTCTGCCACTCTGCCTCCTGCCACTTTTTATAACGAGAAGAGATAAAGGAGGACTGGGTTCTCAGAGGCTTCGAATTGGAAAAGTAATTCAAAGGGATGTGAGCATGGTTGGCTTCGGGGTTTGCATGATACTGTAAACATCAATACTTTGCTTGTCAGCACTCTATGCTATTTAAGAATGTTAAAGTCCTCCATGAATAGAGGCTATGTGCGTGTCTAGAAACATGTAATCATAAATAGTACGAATGATAATCAAATTATTTTTACTTTATAGTAATGCAAATAAAATATTCATGCATCATGTAGGCCTAGGAAAGGTTACAGCCTGCAAACTGTGCTAATTAAAATATAATAGCACCGAGGAGTATATGTAAGAGTTACTAATGTCCGTATTTTCCCTCTTTCCTTTAAGATCTTATCTTTAATGAATACATAAAAATGCAATGGTTAGCTGCTACTTTAGTTCTGTGTTTTTTTTTTTTTCAGGAAATTTATTTCGAAGGAGTGTGCAAAAATAATCACAGCATCTACTAAGAGAAAATGAAATATACTATGATAAAGGATATATGATTTTTTTTTTAAAGGAAAAGCTAGTATTTCAGGCCTGATCCCGAATTCCGTCAAAAAAATTAGAACATCATTAATTCTTAAAGGTTTCACAGTTCAAAATAAAAATAAAAAAAAAAAAAACAAAACCCAAACAAGGTTTATGTCAAACATGATGATATATCTCAGTATTATTTTTACATCAAATTTGAGGGTCAAATCTTTCAGGAATAGAATAACTAGGCGTTACAAATTCCTAATTTTAAGTACTGTCAGATGAGTAAGACTAACTTTGAATTAACCCTAATTTCCTTTTTCCATGTTCATACTTCTGTCCAAAATATGTTGCCGTTGTGTGGGCATTTATGAAACAAAATTGCATTGGGGTGAATGAACAGTAAGGAAAGGAAGCTTTAAGCTGATGTGCACAAAAATTCTACATATGCCTTATTTTAGGTATTTATGCAGTATTTGTGCCAGAAGTCAAGTAAGGAATATAATGTGTTCTGGGTAGGGAACAGCAGCAGTGCCATCCGAGAGCACCCATGGGTGAGCTCTGTTAAGAATCTGTAAGGAGAAAGCGAATCCACGAAAACGTCAAGTAAATTTGACTGATTAATGCATTTGAAAAGAATTCTTATTCCTTCGTGAGCGTATTCCGTCGTTATGAGGAATATGAAGATCATGGAATGCATTATTCTGTCCCCATGATTCTCTTATCCCCGGTTGTGAATCAGCGCATGAGACTTGACTGTCAATGGCGGGAGTCAATGGCCGTATTGTGCATGGGCATAATTCGCGGTGATAGAAACCGAGCTCGGGCTTTTAATATTATTTAATCACTTAAACTTAGGAAGTTGCGTAAATGTGGCCGTGCTTGGAGCTTGCAGTGAAACTCTTTGCACATTTAAAAAAAAAACAACTAAAAAAAAAAATATATATGTTCAGATGCTTAAGGGCAGTGAAAAACTTCGTGCTGTGCCTTCCGGTTAGTTGTTCGTGAAATTAAAAAAATTATTTGTAATAAAACTTCTCGACGGTTAATTATGACATTTTAATGGGGCAAGCTTGAATTCTTTCACGGGGTTATGAAAACAAATTAATGTTAAATATGACATTTTCCTTTGGATTTATGACATATCCCCTGGCCCCTCCCTCACCCCACACAACGTGTACAAAAGGAGGTATTAACAGAAAAACAGAGATGTTGTGTGTTCTGTTATGAACAAGCTTTGTGATCTCATCCCAAGGTTTTATCCAAGCTTGAACCATCTGGCTTTGAGCTGGGGAAAAGCATGTCAAGCTCTCCCCCAGAATTTCAGTGTCAGGGAGAAGGGGCAGAGTGCCTGCGCTTAATGCCAGGCCCCCTTTCCTCCCCTCCACAACCCTGCTAGAAAGACAGGAGTCAGGCATTGAAAAGCATACCAGGCATTTTTAAACACAACCCTGACATTTCCTCAGCATTTCCATAGCTAAGGCTTTCCTTTTCCCCATCCCCCTACCCCTCTTTCAATCAAATAAGGCACCCGCTCTCTCATGCCTAGTGCAAAGAAGGGAAGGGAGGAGGAGGGGGGGGGAAAAGTTGGCAATTTAATTCAAACAAAAGAAGCTTGAAATCTATAAGCACAGCAACTCCGAGGCTTCTGGCAAATAGAATTCTAATTAGTATGCTGCTATTTTTCTTTTAGACAGATGAGGGATGCCCCCTATTGACTCTAGCAGGCAGGCTGGTTAAAAAAAAAAAAAGGAAAAAAAAAAGGGAAAAAAAAAAAAAGAGGGGGGCAGGTGGGGGCTAGCCAGCAAACACTGCAGATTGCAAATTATATCGCAAACCCTGCCAAGTCCCAGCTCTTGGCATCAGATTTTTAATGACACCCTGGAAAAGGGAAAAAGAAGCCCTCAGCTAAGGGATAAAAATGAGGGGTTTTACACTGTGATAAGTCTTTGCTTAAAACCCAAATGGCCAAGCACACATTAGGGTTTTAAAATATTCATAGA